CAATCCTTCCCTCCCCTAACACTCTCCACCAGTACCCCAATCCTTCCCTCCCCTAACACTCTCCACCAGTACCCCAATCCTTCCATCCCCTAACACACCCCACCAGTACCCCAATCCCTTCCCTCCCTTAACACTCCCCTCCAGTACCCCAATCCTTCCCTCCCCACAACAACAACCACCACCACGTCATACCCTCTGGTGTTGACAACAGACTGCCGCAGCTGCTTGAGAGACTGACTGTGCCCGGGGCGTAGACGACTGACTGTAGACTGCCTCGGCACCACCTGGTACCCCCTTGTTGATTGTATTATCGACTGTGTCTTCTCGCCTGTAGCAATGTAGGGAGTAAATTATGGTGGATATCTATCTAAAGTATCTACAGTATATGTACAGTATCTATATCTAAAGTATCTATATCTACAGTATCTATCTAAAGTAACTATTAAACAAGCAACTTACTGGTAACTATTGGCTATGTGCGTCGGTGTAGACATATGAGTCGGTGTAGACATGTGCGTCGGTGTAGACATATGGGCTGGTGTAGACATGTGCGTCGGTGTAGACATATGGGCTGGTGTAGACATGTGCGTCGGTGTAGACATATGGGCTGGTGTAGACATGTGCTTCCGTGTAGACATATGGGCTGGTGTAGACATGTGCGTCGGTGTAGACATATGGGCTGGTGTAGCCACTGGTTGATGTCCACTGGTCGGCTTCTGGTCTTTTCCTAGGTACTTACTTATGTCGTCGACTAGTGCTAATACTCTACTAGCCTCACTCTTGTTAAGTTGGCCCATACCAACCCCCTCCCCTGAACTCTCCTCCCCACTGGAATATCAACAAGTTCTCACCAGAAGTTACAATTTCATTTAGGAAAGGAACGGAACCAGTGTTAAACAGAGGTGAACAGTGGTGAACAGTGCTTAAGTCAGTGAGAACAACTCAACAGTAACAGTCGTACCCAAGTTAACCTTCACACAGTGAGGTCAACTCAACAGTAACAGTCGTACCCAAGTTAACCTTCACACAGTGAGGTCCCAGGTACCCAGTGATAACGGCCCCCGCGAGACCCAACAACAACCACCGATGTGTTAATCCGTCTACGATAGGAAGGCCTGGGACCAAACCTCACTCATATAACACCATCTGTGAGGGAATTACTACACCACATGTCCCTCATAACACCATATGTGAGGGAATTACTACACCACGTCAAGTCCCTCATCACACCATCTGTGAGGGAATTACTACACCACGTCAGGCCCCTCATAACACCATCTGTGAGGGAATTACTACACCACGCCAGGTCCCTCATAACACCATCTGAGGGAACTACTACACCACGTGAGTTCCTCCTAACACCATCTGGGAGGGAGTTACTACACTACGAGTTTGCTGTTCAACACCTACATTAATCTGTATGTTCACTGTATGTTCCTTTACCTTTCTCTAATGAAGGCTTTTGTTGAACCACCAATGTATGTAATAAGTCTTTTATGTCCAATTACATACATATATACATATACATTCCCATATACACTGTACATACACATTATATACATAAACATAGCATGTCCTCCCTATGTTGAATCGGCTGCTTGTCCAATTAACCAGTCCGTTCACACATATTTATATTTGGGTTTTAAGTAACGAAACCCAAATAGTAGTTCCTTTGTTTTATTATAAAAGGTTGTATATATAATTCCTGAGTGTATATCAACCGTAAGTCTCACTGTCTAGGAGTGAATGAGAAAGGGACGGCGTTTATGTATGATAAACGTTTGGTCACGTCCTTTCGATATGAGTTGAGGTGAGCTACTGAAGCTTAGGGGCATCGCAGTGCGTGCTTACAGAAATGCTGAGCTATGGGTCTCGCCCTCTTGGGTAAGTTGCCCGCTCACGTGTCCATCTCATGTCTTACTCATAGACAGTGGAAAGTTACAGGGTGGTGAATCTGAATATATCAGATGTATTGACCCATTTATATAATACGTTCTGTTGATGAGACAGGGGCCTATTACATCGCTCGGTCACCTACCAGCCGAGCTCCGTGAGGCCTAAATAACTCACAGAGTACAGCACATCCTAGACAACCCTAACCATGTTATAAACAGATATGTAGACACTAAGCTGGGGAAATTACTGTAGGGGTATTCTCTACTACAGGGGACCTAGACTTTTGTGTCGTACGGGTTAGTATATTATGAACAATGTTGAATTTGGACGATACTGCCCGGTAATAACAGAACAGGAACATTATTTATTAGAATGTTATTATCTTGAAATCAGCAGTCAGTCTCGTTCAAGAAAGCTAGCACTTTTAATTTCTCTGATACTATTTGAATATCCTTGATAGTGAAATTCATTATAGGAAGTGGAATTAAAGCAGACTTGAGTTTTCGATTGAACGCAAAATGCTGATGAGTAGGCAAGGTCCGTAATGTACTACAAGTGATTTCACAGTAATCAGGAGCCTTGTAATGCCCTTTCACAACTAGCTGCTTAACACCATTTTGGCATTTTAAAATTACAGTAGTGAGATTTGGAAAGAACAAATACTGCACATTGTGAAGGTGAGCGTGGAACACAGTCTTTAGACTAACTGGACTATAACTGCATTTTCATACTAACGCCATGACATCACAGAATAACAATGAATATTAGGCCTATCTAGGGTATACAGTGTGTCGTTCACAAACCAGGGGAAGGGTTCTAAATGCCATGCATTAAACTCATGTTGCCCTCGCATAGGAATGTGGATCAGAATTGCATTGTGCGTGAGGGTTGACTCCAACAGCGGGTAATAATAGTGAACCTCATTGTCATTGAAAATAGGAGTTAAATGATACTGCAACTTGGCTATTTTTAAAGCTTCAAGAAGCGTTTGCACAGGCACAAGCTTCGCGTCCACACGTCCTATCCCGGCATCTACAATGCTGTCTATTAGTTCATTTTTAGAGGTTACAATTTTATGAACTGAAATTTCAGCAGCATGCAAATATTCTGTGAAGTAAAGGAGCCATTCTAACGTCGGGATTGCTTTCTGTAACCTAGTAACAATCCTCGAAACTTGGTTAGACTCCATTATGATTGCATTAACCTTTGATTCTAGAGCAGTAATCGTGGGAAAGGTTTGAGAAATAACACGATTCTGTTGAGATACAGCTTGAACAACAACGTCCATGAAACTATAGTCGAATTCATCGAAGCTGTGCTGAGACCATGAAGAATGTCCAATGCTGATTGTAGTTGGCCGTCGACGTTTTCCATCTGACGCGAAAGTACGAGTTAACTTCTACTCGCAGAACGTAGTTTCATACAATAGTCATTTGGGACATTTTGCTTCTGAACAGTCTGTAAGGATGTATCAATCACATTATCATCAACTTGAGGTAAGACATTTATCTGGGTCTTCTTCAGACGATCCGCGTGCACGACATCTGCGATCTGTGCATTAGGCTTCCATATTTTGAATTTGTTGCCTGCTTCTTTTGAGATTATGCGGAATGGATATTGTAGAATCGGGGCAGGTGATCCTGTCGATCTTTTATGTTGAGCACATGCCAAACAATTAGCTATGTGTAATTCTATGTCTTTCTTCATAGTGTTCCAGAAATACTTCTTTCGTAAATCCGCTAAGCATTTATCACGACCTTGGTGACCTGCTTGTGGGACATCGTGGAACAATGTCATTACTGCTTTGCGCAACGTGTCAGGTACGACTATTTGAGACACATTACCCTCAGGAGATTTTCTCGTCCTATTGAGTATGTTATGTCGTAATTCAAACTGACTTAAGGGAAGAAATAACTTGGGGAGTTTAACATCCTCGCCCTATTCGAGAGCATAAATAACAGCTGACCAATATGGGTCGCGTCGTTGCTCATCTTCCAGCTGCGAAAGAGTGAATGCCGATACAGGCATTACTGGTGCTATATTTCTTGACAGAGCGTCGGCGATAACATTCGCCCTCCCAGGTAAATACCTAAATTCGGGGTCAAACTCTTGAATTGTCAGATACCAGCGTGCTAATCTGCCTGATAAGTTTCTGCCATGGAACAGTTCGGTGACTGCCGCATGATCAGTAAAAAACAGTTATCTTGTAGCCAAAGATAATGTCTTTGAACTTCTTAAGTGCCCACACAACGGCTAACGTTTCTAAATGCGTCACCGAATAACGTGTTTCAGCATCGATTAGTTTGCGACTTGCAAATGCTATCACTCTAAACTTCCCACGCGTGTCCTCTTGCATGAGCACTGCTCCGACTCCAATTCCGGGAGCGTCAGTACAGAGAGTGAAAGGTTGAGTGTAGTCTGGGAATGCTAGAACCGGGGCATTGGTTAGCGCTGTCTTCAATGCCGTAATACTTTCCTCGTGTTCAGCATCCTATATAAACACTGCATCTTTTTTTGAGCAACCTCGTTCGGGGCGATGCTAATGTTGCATAGTCCTTGATAAAGGAACGATAATAACCAGATAATCCGAGAAAGCTACGCACATGATCATTTGAGGTAGGACGCGGGAACTGAGATACAGCTTTGACTTTATCATTAACTGCGTGTATGCCCTCACCGTCAACTACATGACCAAGGAAATGGATTCTGGATTTTAAAAACTCGCTCTTTGAGAGTTTTATTTTGAGTCCTGCTGTGGAAAGTTTGGCCAAAACTTCACGCAGTTTTATCAGATGGGAATCGACGTCCTTACTGACTACTATTAGATCATCCAAATAAGCGCAGATTGTGTTACCAATTAGTCCGGCAAACAGGGTGTTGATCATTCTTTGAAATGTTAGTGGGGCATTTCTGAGACCAAATGGCATTCGTAGAAACTCAAAGTGGCCTAGAGGCGTGCTAAATGCCGTGATTTCTCGCGATTTTTCATCGAGTGGTATTTGCCAATACCCACTAAGCAAATCTAAGTTGCTAAATACCGCATTATCCTTGCCTAAGGATTGCAATATGTCACTCAAGATAGGCATTGGGTACCTATCAGGGATTGTTTGATCATTTACGCGCCTGAAATCTATGACAGGGCGCCATCCACCATCCTTTTTCGGGACGAGGAATAATGGGCTATTAAAGGGGGATTTTGAGTGTCTAATGACATTCTCATCTAACATACCCTGTACTATATCTTGCACTACAGCGCGCTGGCTATGAGGTAGTCTATAAGCTGGTACGTAAATAGGGTTGGTTCTTCCTTTAACGCTATATGATGGGATGTTAAATCTGTCTGACCTAGCGGTTCCCCTGGCAAGGCTACTATATTTCTGTAGTCAGCAAGCAGCTCTAACAGGCGTGTCTTGCCCTGTGGATGATCGACCACCTTAACATGTGGCGCTATTTGATCTATCCTGGCCAGTCGAGTCTGTTGGCAATTCGCAACAATACCTCGAATTGGGAATTTATTTGGTTGCACTTCGACATTGTTGTGATATACTAGAAAATCACACAAATAACATCCTTTCTTTAAGATTCGTTGAACGCCTGTTCGATTTAGAATCAGTACGTCAGTCAAACCACCAGGGCGTATTGTGCTCAGGGTAGATTCACATGACAGCCCTTTTACCTTGCATGTTTCCGGGAGACACACTACATCTGTGCCCGTGTACACGTTGGGTAGTTCGACAGTTGCTTTGGTGATTTCCTCATTTTGGTAATGGAGAGTACTCTTCAACACTGCTGGTACAATCGTCCAACTCTTGCTGCTGTAATCACGCTGGGAAGGTGTGTGGTTGAGGTCGAGAGATATCTCTGACGCATGATCCGCCTTCCTCTTAATAGGATTGGTAGA